AGGTTCTTCTACTGGTTCTGGCAAGTGTCCAGTTGTCTGTCTTTGAGTCTCATGGCCAAGGCATAAATTTCTGTAGTCAATGCACTGTACGTCTCCTGCTATATCCATAAATGTTGGTGGGAGAGCACTTGAGTCCTGAGGAGTATTTCTGAGGATTCTCTGTGGAATTCCTGTCCTGCATCCCTCTGGTCATGGTGTTGTGTGTTTGGGAAGGTTGGTCAGCTTCCTGGAGCAATACTCTCATGTCAGTGCTGGTATCCTCTAATTCTCTCTTCTGCTAGGTCCATCCACCGGAGAACCTGGGACTGCCTTGCCAAGCACAACACAACCTCCTCGTACACCAAGACCCACACCAAGCTCAGGTATTGCCATGTCCTGTCGCTTTCTTCTACTCCTAGTGGCAAGTGTTCAGTTGTCTGTCTTTGAATCTCATGGCCAAGTCATAAATTTCTGTAGTCAATGCACTGTACGTCTCCTGCTATATCCATAAATGTTGGTGGGAGAGCACTTGAGTCCTGAGGAGTTTTTGTGAGGATTCTCTGCTGAATTCCTGTCCTGCGTCCCTCTGGTCATGGTGTTGTGTGTTTGGGAAGATTGGTCAGCTTCCTTGGAGCAATACTCTCATTTCAGTGCTGGTATCCTCTAATTCTCTGTTCTGCTAGGTCCACCCACCGGAGATCCTGGGACTGCCTTGCCAAGCACAACACAACCTCCTCATACACCAAGACCCACGCCAAGCTCAGGTACTGCCACATCCTGTCTCTATCTTCTACTGCTTGTTCCAAGTGTTCGGTTGTCTTTATTTAAGTCTCAAGACTCAGGAATGAGGTGATTGTGATGAAGGAGCTGCATGTCTCTTTCTGTCACTCTATGCTAGTGGGAAGACACTCAAGTACTGTAGTTTTCATTTACGACTCACTGTGTGATCGCTCTTCTGCACCTCTCTGATCATGGTGTTGGTGTTTGGAAAAGGTCTTGCTTGCAACAAAACTCCCATATTGGTGCATTTCTCCTCTACCTTTCTCTTGTTCTAGGTCCATCCACCGGAGAACCTGGGACTGCCTTGCCAAGCACAACACAACCTCCTCATACACCAAGACCCACACCAAGCTCAGGTATTGCCACATCCTGTCCCTTTCTTCTACCGCTTGTGGCAAGTGTTCAGTTGTCTGTCTTTGAGTCTCTCGGCCAAGTCATAAATTTCTGTAGTCAATGCACTGTACATCTCCTGCTATATCCATAAATGTTGGTGGGAGAGTACTTGAGTCCTGACGAGTTTTTCTGAGGATTCACTGTGGAATTCCTGTCCTGCGTCCCTCTGGTCATGGTGTTGTGTGTTTGTAAGGTTGGTCAGCTTCCTGGAGCAATACTCTCATGTCAGTGCTGGTATCCTCTAATTCTCTCTTCTGCTAGGTCCATCCACCGGAGAACCTGGGACTGCCTTGCCAAGCACAACACAACCTCCTCATACACCAAGACCCACACCAAGCTCAGGTATTGCCACGTCCTGTCCCTGTCTTCTACTGCTTGTGGCAAGTGTTCGGTTGTCTGTGTTTGAATCACATGGTCAAGATATAAGGATTCTGTAATGAATTGTCTGCATACCTTTGTTTACATCCGGACAATGTTTGTTGGAGACTACTTAAGTCCTGTAGTTTTTCTGAGGAGCCAGTGGAATTACAGCCCTGGGCCTCTCTGGACATGGTGTTAGTGTATTTGGGAAGGTTGGGCCCGCGTCTTGAAATAAAATTCTGTTGGCTGCCATGTCCACTAACTCTCTCTTGCCTCCCCACATGCCATCAGTACCAAGACCCACACCAAGCTCAGGTACTCATCTCTTCTCCATTTTCTTTTTGCCTGTCAGAATTTCTCTGTGTTTCTAATCCATTTTCCTCAGCCAGGTGACACAATTTTTATAGTGGAGGATAAGAGCTTTTTCTTGGCCACCCAATATAAATTTGTGGGACATTGCTTCAGTGTGGGATCTTTTCTGAGTAATGACAGCGTAACTCCTGCCCTTTGTCCCTTTTGCCAGAGTTTTGTTTTTTGGTAACAGTAGACCAACTGCTTGATAGTTATCTTCCATACCCTTTATTGACATGTCCATAAATATATAAAGTATCCTGTTCTATAGCAAGTTTCCAAGTGTTATACAGTTTATTGTTTTTAGAATTTTTGTTATATAGTTTTTGTTTGTAGTATTTTGAAATTTAACTTAGCTTCCCTTTTTTTATATAAACATTATTCTGTCCTCAAAAAGACTGAGTTGTTGTGCTTACTGTAATTTTAATGCTTAGGAAACACTATATTTCAGTTTAGGTAAGTTTTAACTGCTGCTTTCTCCAATTTTAAGCACTAATTGTTCTACATATGTTGGTTTGTTAAGTACAAGAGACTGCCAGCTCATCTCATCAGTTTGGATGTCTTCTGCGTATTTTATTTTGTGTTTAACTAATGTTTATGTATATAGTTCCTGGAGTTTTAATAGTTTATATGTAAGTGGTTAAGGTTGACATGTAGACACAACCTTAAGTGTAGTTACTTTTGTAATATGCCATTGAAAATCAGAGAAGGATGGACTTATCTTCATTATTTTCTGTTGCGGTTAATAATCATCATAATGCACCTGCAAACTCAACTCTGCTAAGATTTGATGGGAGGATTTTTTTGTTGAAAATGGAAATTTCTCATTAGCACTCAAAACCTTACCCAGCTCACACACACACACATGCATGCTGTGTACCTCTATTTGCACATATTATCTCTGGCTAGTTAATTTTGATATTTTTAAAAAGTATGTCTGCAGTGTTCAAGAGGAATTCCATAACTGATGGGAGTACGGAGCCCCAGGCAGCTGGTAGCGCAGCAGTCTCTTCTGGCTAACCAGCCCTGTACATTTTTTGATTAAATTCTTCTTATTTATTCAGAAATAACCTTTCAGACACGGACATTAAAATCTCACTGCTCCACTTTATATAATGATGTCTTAATAATGACACTTTTCTTGATATCAAAGCTTTTTGCTTTTATTTCACCCTCAGACTCCAACACAGATTTCTGATACACAAGAGTACAGATTCTTTATTGGTTCAAAGAGAGGAGACTGTATTGGGTTTTGGAATGTTTTTGACTGATGCCATTACTGTTATATATAAGCAGCAATTGCAAAGTGAAGCAAACAAAGTGGAAACAAAGTAACTATGGAAGTCTGGTAGAGATTCAGAGGAAATTTGTCTTTCTTTCTTCCCAGGCCGGGCTTTCTGCAGTGCCTCTGGGGATCCACATTATAACACTTTTGACCACAGAGTTCACAATTTCATGGGAAATTGCACTTACACCCTCTCCAAAGTGTGCAACATCTCTGAGGGGCTTCCATACTTTGATGTATCCACAACGAATGAACACAGAGGAGCCAACACCAAAGTCTCGTATGTGAAGTCAGTGCAAGTGGAAGTCTATGGCAACCATATATCTTTGCTGAAAAACAGGAAAGTGAATGTAAGAGAATAGTTATTTAAAAGACATGTATCTTTTTAAGTTGACATGCAGATAAAGAAATATTTTCTCTGTAGAGTTTACAGCAAACTTTCTCTTTTTGTTAGTTAAATGTACCTCTGTTAGTGAGATGTCCAACAAATTTGTTCAGATGAAGTGTTTTTTAATTAATTCCAGTTCCCTTGTGCACAAGGTCATATATTCCACTAATCTATTCTAGCTGCTGGAAGTTGCAGGAATACCAGCAGCCATACACTAACTTTTACAACTTGCTGTATAGGTGAATGGCAGCAGGATGAACCTGCCTATATATATTGAAAAGAAGATCAGTATTCAAAGCACTGGTGGATATGTTCTCTTGGAAACTGACTTTGGATTGTGGGTGAGATATGATGGAAATCACTATGCAGAAATCTCTGTGCCTTCTGATTACAGTGGTCTGCTCTGTGGCCTCTGCGGTAAGTCATAGGCTTAGTCGCTTTTTAGTGAGTTGTGGAGGCTGGTGATTACTTAAACTTATTTTCTCATTATGTCATATTTTTTCTACACACAACTGTTCCTTGCCAAGTGGACTAGAATTTACAGCAGTGAAGAAAACTTCCAGGAACTTTTAAGTTTCTAAGAACTCTTACTTAAAAAATTCCTGTTAACGTGCTACCCATTTGGGACTGTAGTGACAGGACAAGGGGTAACAGGTTAAAACTTAAACAGGGGAAGTTTAGATTGGATATAAGGAGGAAATTCTTTCCTGTTAGGGTGGTGAGGCACTGGAATTGGTTGCCCAGGGAGGTTGTGAATGCTCCATCCCTGGCAGTGTTCAAGGCCAGGTTGGACGAAGCCTTGGGTGATATGGTTTAGTGTGAGGTGTCCCTGCCCATGGCAGGGGGGTTGGAACTTGATGATCTTAAGGTCCTTTCCAACCCTATTCTATGATTCTGTGATTTTATATTGTGAGGTGTATATACAAATTACACTTTTAGCCAAATAAAAACCCTCACTTCAGTTCTACAGTTTAAATTCAGGTACATGCATCTACTAAAGAACTCTGTGATTTCCTATTATTTACATTCTGATGTATTTGTCCTTTGTTGAGTGTGAGGAATGTTATACCATTTAATTTGTAAATCATAAAATCTTGAGGCTGTTTCCACAGTAGAAAGAAATCTTCAGAATAGCTTACTGTCAACATCCTCAAGCTTTCCTGCTGCTGTTTTCGTGTGCAGTTTTAGGAGGTATTTTTATAATCTGAATAATCGTGTTTATATGATCAAAGGTGAAAAAAGAAAAGCTGAAGCAATGAAAGAAAAAAGTAGACCACTAAAGCTTATTTTACCTATTTTTTTTAATTCCTGATAAAATATGCTGTGTCTACATTAAAATAAAGCAATGACAAGGATCAAATACAGATAAACCTGAGCTGACAGACTTGATGAATAAGAAAGAAAATTCATACTTTATTTCCAAAATTCAAATATCACCAAATATTAAATGCTATATATGATACAAAGCACAGAGGCCTTTAGAGTCCTATGAGAAAGATCAGACAAATAGGGCACAATCTGCTGTGTTCTGTAAGAAATTCTGTTGCAATAGGGTACCAAAGTAAATAAGTCACAGGTGGCTTATATAGCTAATCAGAGTAGGAGCTTGCTGGAATTAGTAGTGATCAGTAATTTTTCCTCAGCAATGTTGCTAATGCCTGAACCTGAGCAGAGTTAGTTGCAACAACAGTCTGAAATCCAGGTGATTTTCAGGATGGAAATGGGACTGTAGAAATTACAAGAGTAGTTTGTCTTGTGAGTTTCTGATTATTCTTTGATTTGGATCAGCTGAGATTTCCTACTTCAGTTATTTTTCCATGAGTTTTTCACACTTTCAATTCTTTCAATTCAGGAAATCTACTTAAGAATGTAATGGTGCAAAATACACCATTTGGGTTTTAGTCCAGCATTCTACATGTAGGATCCAAGGAAATGAGTTGTTTTTTGCTTTTTTAGCTAAGCATTTTTTTCTTGTATGCAATATAACCTAGTTACAAAAGAACTTACGGACTACTTACTTCAAGCCCACAAGTCTCTGAACAGCAGCTCTTGTCAGTGGTCAAAGTCTAAAACACAACTGAGCTCTTATTTTGCATATACACAGTGATGTTGCATATATACCCTCCCTAGTTTATTGTAGTTTATTTTACAGCCTGAAACCTAGGTTTGTTCTACAGGTGAGAACTTCAGGTGTTCCATATATCTCTTTTACCCTCACAGGTAATTATAATGGTGATCCAAATGATGACAACAGAAAGCCTGATGGTGACACTGCAAGTGATTCCACTGATCTTGGACAAAGCTGGCTTGTGCCTGAGAATAATACCATGTATGTATATTAATTTAATCACATGGCATTTGCTAATCAAACTTTATAAATCCAAACATCCCTCCACTCACTGGCTTTGTCATCCAGTACCATTATACATCTTTCAGCTGCCCATTAGAAGTTGGGACCTGCACCTTTACATCAAACAGGAAATGAGGGCTTGTGTCCTTTAAGTCTTGTTTTTCCAAGCAAGAACTGTCTGCTGAATGTGAAGGGGGATGGGACTTCAGTCCAGTTCCCTGACTGGAAACCATAGCTAGCTGGATTCCGTGGCTCTTTTTACAGCCAAGAATAAGGCTTTGAATAGCCCAGAAAGCATAAAAAAATGAGTCAATTCAGTGATAAGGCTGACATCAGTGAGCCTTGTGACTGTAATAAAATACACTCTGTTGTGCAGGGTTGTCATGTGTCAGTCTTCTGCTTCCAAATCTGATGGTAAGAGCTGTAAGACACGTTTGATTTTGCTTGTTTTCCCTAGATGCTCCAGTGGAGCACAACAGCAGTGTGATCCTGTGCTGGAGAGTGAAGCAAAGAAGAACACAGCATGTGGCATGATCACAGACCCAACAGGTAGTATGTTGGTAGTTCTCTGTAAGCCATATCATGGGTCACTGTATAGCTCATGTTGTCTCCTTTCTATAGTCCATTGTTCTGAGCTTGTATTAAACATATAACACTTTCAGTGTGAATGGCCAACATAAAATTCATAGGTACTTGGTCAAGATATGTCAACCATTTGGACAGTGCTAGTGTGTAAATGAAGATTATCTGAGCATCTGTGTTGGGAGCCATAGCTGCTCTTTGCTTTATAATGACTTGCACTCTGCTTGCTAAGAGAAACAGTTTAGAGAGCATTGTAATTGCATATATTACAGATACTTTATCTGAAATACTGTACATGATCCCTGCATTGGACAGCCCCTGCAGTTGTTTAGAATAAGTGGCTTTCCTAGCTAACAATTCTTAATTTATATAAGCTATCTTCTATCAGTCATGCAAAAAGAAGAAAACCTGATCTGGAGGGTCAAGTCTCATTGTGCATGCTCCATTTTGAGTGTTGGTTTAACTTATTAAATAAAATTAGCCTGGAGCACTCACAATACATTTACCATGACAGAAAATAGATGGTGTTGATGATCTAGTAATTCCACCTTTGTTTTTTTATCCTTCTGTGTATCTTGATTTACACAGGAATCTTCAAGGATTGTCATTCCAGAGTGCTTCCAGAGAATTTCTTTGACAACTGTGTTTATGACATGTGTTTCACTGATGGACAGGCAACATCCTTATGCTATGGACTGCAGGCCTATGCTGAGTCATGTATCAATGCTGGGATATGCATAGAGTGGAGGAATGCTACACTTTGCCGTGAGTGTTTTGACTTATAAATATCTATTCTGGATTAAAACATCAAAAGTATGCACATTTCCTCTACCTTTTTCATACATGTTATCATTTTATGTAAAGTTTTGAGTATGACCTTTTGTCATACTCAAGCCTGCTTTATTTCATTCCAGCATTTGTATAAAACCCTAATTTTCAATAACATTTGGATATGCAGGTCTAATCCTGAAAGTTTTAATAATTTACTAATAGCTTCTTGGAAAAGTTTGATTACATTCAACTATCTCATGTGAGCTTCTGCATTGGGGAAATAACTGTTGGCTTTGCTCCACTGAAAATCTACCATCCTCAGTGTAAGCAGAGTTGGTAGTCCTCCATGCACAAATGCTTATAGATGGCTTTTGGTTAAAAAGCTACTTTAATAAGAAAACTTGAGAAAGAGCTGTTTCTAGGAAGTTTACAAGTATTCCTCTATAAAGCAAAGAAATCAAGTATTCTCACTTATCTCCCAATTAATTTTCTTCAGAATGACCTTTTGAGGAATTTCATATAATGAACTCTTGTCAGAATAAAGCTCTCCATCAAGAAAATCCTTTGTATGCAGCACTTTTCCTGTGTCAGACTTTCTAGCAGCAATTTTAAATATTTTCAGGAGCAAACCGTGTGAGTGTCAGGAAAACCTTTATCATTATTTTGCCCTTTTGAGTGATCTTTTCTTTTTCTCTCTAGCAATGTCCTGTTCTGGAGGCAGCATCTACAAGAGCTGCGGTACTAGGTGTCCCTCTACCTGTTTGAACATCTCAGCAGCTGATTCATGCAGTTCCTTGCCAGTGGAAGGTTGCTTCTGTAAGGAAGGCTATGTTTTGAGTGGAGAAAAATGTGTGCCAGAAAACAGCTGTGGCTGTGTTGATGAAAAAAATCGGTATCATCAGGCAAGTTACTTCAGACATTTAAAGCAAAAAAACCCTAACAAACCCAGCAAACAGGGGATCTCATTCTTTATCACTATGAGAGCAAAAAACATTAATAACACTAACACTATTATTATTAATGCCATTAATAGCAGCAGATAGACTCATTTTCCCAGCCTTCTTGATCTGTAAGCTGTGTAATAGAATTGCCCAAAATCATCATATATCATGCACATCCAAATACTAATAATTTGACTGTCCCTTATGGTATTACCTTCAAATTTATTCTATAGTATATACTTCTACATTCTTTTTTTCACTCAGCTGGATGAAAGCTGGTTTACCAGTTATCCCTGCACTGAACGCTGCACCTGCAAGGCTAATAACACCATCGAATGCACATCCTGGGAATGTGGAGTCCAAGAGGAATGCAGTATTCAGGATGGAGTACTGGGATGTCATTCCAATGGTAAGTCCTGCCTGAAAACAGTTCTCAGTGTGAGTTCCATCATTAGATCTTTCTTCTCATTCTAGCTTTACTGTAAATATCTTTATATATGGGATTGCAGAGAAATCTCAAATGACTGCTGCCAGTGCTAAAAGAAGAAAAGATATGATGAACTTTCTTGCAAGCATAGATACCCTTCTGTTGTAATGGATATCAGCAAAAACTGATGCTACCCAAAAGCTTGCAAGGTCACTTGGGTTCTTTTTGTCTTGATAATACAAATTCAAGGCCTACATCACCAGTAACCATTACTACAAGCTGTAAATTTGGGAATTATCGAGAACTGCATTTCTGAGGGTCTGGGTAATGGCAAATGCATTAAGTATTGATATATATAAATGAAAAAAAATATTTACTTTTAGATTTACACCTGTATGTATTTTTATATAGCTATGTAGAAAAGCTCTCAATCTCAACAACTGTAAATCATAGCTACAACAACATATAACAATATATATAATATTGTACTGTATATAGAAATATAGAAATGTATAAAGAGGTTCATTTGCTGCCAAGTTGCCAGTTTGCCATAATTTGTGAATTTAATTTAGGAGACACTATCTGGAAATTTCCAAATTGGCATGAACCTGAGATACCTCTGTGAAGGTTTGCCCGCACAATGATGATAAGGATTAGGTTGTTGCACTAATGGTTGCACTTTGGTTAGCTGAATCCATGGTGAAATCTAGTCCAAAGTTCTTAGACATTTTTTTCACCTTCAGGCCAAGCAACATGTCAAGTGGCAGGAGATCCCCACTACTTCACTTTTGATGGAATGATGTACACTTTTGTGGGTACCTGCACCTACACCTTGGTTGAGGTTGTCAACACCAACAGTGTTATTCCTATAACCATCCTTGGCAAGAATGAAGACAGAGGACTAAGAGGGGCCACATACCTGAAAGATGTCTACATAGATGTGTATGGTGTACGAATCACCCTTCAGAAAAACCAAAGAATCCTGGTAAGTGGTGATGCTTTTTTATTCTGGCAAGAAGTAGCTTAAGATTAGCTCACTACAGTAGCTGTAGGAAAAAGTATGTTTCCTAAGGAATACATACATGTGGGCACCTCCATTAACTGGGTATCACAAGGAAACATAATTTCTCACCAGTTCCCGAGGCTTCTGTTTGGGGTTTACTGTTCTACTGGCCATATCCTGGAGACAGAGCCCAGAGCCTCCAGACTGCAAAACTGCTGCCTGAACTAAAGAATGGGGCTTCCCACTTCAATAGCTGTTGTCAATAGCTAGCTAACAAGAGCAGAGGAAAAGAGAGTCATACTGTATTGGTCTAGCATAGCATGGAAATCTATGGCACTACCAGAGCAGGGAATCCACCCTATGGGCAGGTAAGAACTTGCTCACTACCAAGGATCTTTCCAGCTCTCTGTTAAAGGCACAGGCTGAATCCCATCCAGCTCTCGTCAGCTAAAAGGCTCATTCCTGCAACCCATAGTTGGAATATGCAATGGTGGAAGTGCAAAAGAGGTAAAATTGTCATTGAGGATTCTTCAGCACTTCAAGGAATATAGACTGTAAGCAGAAAAGCTTTCATGGAAGAATGTCCATACTGACAAATGACATGTCTCTCCAGCTGAACAATGAGAGAGTCTACACTCCATTGGAGAACCGGTTGCGAGGCGTGTCCATTGGAAACGTTGGCAGATTTATAATAGTAGAAACTGACTTTGGTGTGATAGTAAAATATGATGGCAATAACTACCTGGAAATCACTCTCCCAAAGTCTTATTTCTCAAAGGTAAGATTTAGTATGTAAACGTGTGGGACTGTTTCAAAACTGCTGCTTTGTACATTTATTTCTAATTTCTTTTATTTCTGTGTTTTGCTGTTGCGTCTTTCTTTGTAGCTGTATTGTGACACGTTATTTTTTTTCCTTTCTATTTTTTTTCTCTTCACAACAATGTCCTTGAGTTCCAAAGGGGTAGTGAAAGAAAATGGCTGCGCTAGGGGAATGCATCTAGTTTCTAGAATTAAACACCTTGAAAGCTTAGGGGACCACAGATTTACTGCAGTTTCTATTTTATTTCTTCATGGGTGTGATCAGACACTAGTGAGTATGTCTGCAATGTCTGGTATAAGATTGGGTGTTGGTGGTGATTTGGTCATATCATTTCACAGGCAATGAACAAGAAGTTCTTGGGGAAGCTGATGAAGAACAGATTGTGCCTAGACTATGGTTCTTTTTCATTTGCAGGTACATGGCATGTGTGGTAATTTCAATGATAATCGTGAAGATGATCTGTCCTTGCCCAATGGTACACTTGTCAGTGTCCCACAGTTTGGAAATAGCTGGCAAGTGGAGGAAGACAGTGATGAAGGGTAAATGTAACTTCATGCTTTCTATCTTTGAGAAAGTATCCTTTCAATTGTTTTGACCATTTGCTACTTTGTAACATCTGAGTAGCACATATGAGACTCTTCTTTTCTTGAATGTGAAGCTCAAAGCCATACCACAGGAAAACACTGCACAGGGCAGAGGGTAGCCACAGACTATTGTTCATCTGCATACACACTCAGGGAATTAGGCTTTGGGGCAGTCCAAAGTGTGGACATAGCCTCTGGCTTACACTGAAAAAACCTAAAGCAGGAAGATGGTGTTGAGGAACAGTAAGGCCTGGCTGCTGCCAGGGACAGGGAGACAAGTATGATAAAACGGCCAAGAGAATGGTGGCTTCACCAGCCAGGGCCCATCCTACACTATGCAAGCAAGGTAGGCCCAAGGATGGAAGTCAGGGTTGGCCAAGAGTCCATATCACCACCCAAGCTGGCAGTGACAAAATGGTCTGAAGTCAGGTCCAAGGTCAAGCTGGGAAGTCAATCCTCTAGTCAGAGTCAAGTTCAATGAGAATAATGAAGGTTAGACACAGCATGGTGATTGCCAGGCAGATCTACTTCCACCTAATCTTTCACTCATAGATAGAAAGACTGAAGTATCTAGCTTTGTTTGTTTAATACATTTCAGTAGAAGCAAATTTTTCATTTTCAGTCTCAATCTTATATATGCCTTTGAAACTGTAATGTAGCTATGTCTGTGCTTTCATGCAGTTGTTTACCAGACTTAAGAGAAGATGATGTTCCTCCTTGCATTTCTGAGAGTAAACCAGTCATTGAAAGCCAGTGCAATGTCCTAAAATCAGACAATTTCAAAGCATGTCACGATCTAGTCAAGCCTGAAGACTTCATACAGATCTGCATCTATGACATGTGCCAGTATGATGGCATGAAGTCTGCCCTCTGTGACATAGTTCAAGCCTACGTAGACACCTGCAGGAATCATGGAATCACCATTAAATGGAGGAATAGCACGTTCTGTCGTAAGTGCACAAGCAAGTGAAAAAAAACCAACTTGGATGGTTAATAACATGAAAACAAATTAGTCAGATTAGGTGAAGAAGTTATGTAAAAGAAAATGAAACTCCAATTCTTACAAAATCTAATTTCATTATTATGATTTTATGGCTTCATTGTTGCACTGAATTGTGTTCAGGCTGAGCTAAACCCAGTGATAACTCAGGTCTAGACAACTTATGCATAGTAATGTGGAGTTACAATGGCTTTAGAAGGCAAATGAGATATTGCAATAAACCTAAAATGGAGCAATAATGTAACCAGAAGCAAACCAAAACAGTGGAATACTGTGTTTTCACACAGGGCTTGATGCCACTCACTGTGTTTTAAATGAAAATGGCAATTTGGCTGCTGCATAGTAAGGGCCACATTCTTGGATGAAATTCCAGTGAATGTGCCTCACTCTGCCCATTCAACAAAGCTACAAACAAATTATATAAAAAATATTAAAGATTACACCATGGGTTTCTTTCTTTCTTTTTTTTTTTTTTAATGAGTTTGCTGGTTTGTTTTTTTCACAATTTAGTGGGTTTCCTTTTGTTGTGTCTTTTTTTTTTTTTTTTTTTTGTGGAATTAGATACCACATAATGTTATGGAGGACAAAACAACTGGTTAGAAAACAAGCCAGATGAAAGTTTAATAGTTCCATCAGAAATATCTGGTTTCTTCCTTGCCAAAAGTGACAGAAAGACAAAAGAACCATTTTTCCTGCTGCCCTGTTTCTTGAACTGTTTCTTGAAGATGAATCTTCAGTCTGATGATGTTCATCCGTTGTTCTTGCATGTGTTTATGTCTGTGGTTAAGCTAGATATACACCTGGTTTGCATCAGTGGAGGGTTAAGGAATTTGACCTAAAGATTCTAATTGCTAGCAGTGCCCAAAAAAGCATTTACAGCTGAACTCGAATACTGAATCTAAATGATCTAGTGCCAGTTGCCACCACTTCAGGCATACCTGTAATAGAACTGAAATCAGCAGCTCCAGAGAGGGTTCTTTACTTGTTTTAAATAAAATCTACTTTGTTTTAAATAAAATATAAAAATTCAGAACTGGTTGATGATCAAAATCAGCTATTAAAAGGCAATTCTATACTACCATTGTATAGGCTAAGTTGTAGCTTTTGGTCAGGCACACATGTCTGCAGTGCGCTTTTAAAATGTATTTAATAACTCTGGTTCTATTCTCTTCGCCCACACAGCATTGCCCTGTCCATCCCACAGTCATTACACAGACTGTGTCTCCCTGTGCCCATCAACATGCAACGACATTTTTGCCTCTTCCCTTTGTGAGAAGACAGAAGAGTGCACAGAGGGCTGTGAGTGTGATGATAACTATGTGCTCAGTAGTGGCGAGTGTGTACCTTTGAGCAAATGTGGCTGCAGGGATGATGACAACAATTACCACAGCGTAAGTAGTTTATCTGAGGAGCAAATCTCTGGCTGCAAAACTTGTAGAAAGTTAGTCTCCTGCCCATCTGAATATGAGAAAGAGAAATTTTCAGGGTCTGCATCTTAAATACCTTTCATTTAATTATTAAAAGCTGCAGGCTCAAATACTAGGAGACGCAGGAGCTTGGTACTTTGCACCTGAAGCCAAAAATGAGGCATATTTGAAACTAGTCAATTGACCAGAGTTATTCAGGCAGTCTGTCCTAGTCCTATTTCGTGTTCAAATTTTAATGTAAAAGACAGTAAGATAAATGGACTGGGATCCCCCCTACCAGGCTGTTGGTGGGAGTACACCTGGATTGAGCAATTGTAGAATCACCAACTGGGCAGGTTGCACCTAGTCAGCCCCCACATCCTTTGCTATTAAACTTCTATTGCGTTGCAAAGCTGAGCACCTTAACATATAATTCACACAAATTGTGTCCAGGCTGGGGAGACCTGGATAACTCCACACTGCACCAGAAGATGCACATGTCAGAAGAATGGTGTCATTAGGTGTGACAGCTATAGCTGTGATTCTAAAGAAATCTGCGTGGTCAAAAATGGAAAACACAAGTGCAAACCAACAGGTATGTGAAGGCAGGTCTTCACTTTGTGTTCCATGAGGGGTGGAGAAGGAGGAAGGATGTGGATGTCCGTTCTTTCTTCTATGGCACTTCTAGTCTTTTCCACAAGGAAAGAAGGCAGCTGACAGTGCTACTAATGATACATGAACACAAAAAGACTCCTATTCTTGGAATAGAGAGTTCCAGTACAAGATAAAGAATTTGTAGAGTAATGCGAAACAGCAGTTTGAAAATTTACTTACATATAGAAATTCGACAGTTCAGTCTGACTAGTTTAATTTTAATAAATAAATAAATAAATAAATATTTAATGAATTAATAAATATGGTTTGCACTGCATCTACCAAAACTCAGATATGTCTGAATCCTTTGGCAATGATACTGTTTTTAACATTGCATGTTGATTTGAGAAAAGAAACAAATAAAGACAGAACAGGACAAAGTAGATCTGAATAGATAGGTAATAGGCAGTCACTTGTTCAGTTGGCTTGCACTGCTTCTCAGCAGAGGAACAAGCTTCTCAGTCCATCTCTTTTGTCTGAGTGCCCATTGCATAGGGTAATGCCTGAGCACTCATCTTTACTTTAAGAAGCCTGCATGCTAGCAGCAGTCATTTTAACCTGACTTATTTTAAACTGATCTATGCATAGGATCTAGCACATGCACATTCAGACTGGAGAGTAATGAAGTTCTGACCCTTTAGGTTTTGGGAAATGCCAGATCATGGGCGATCCACACTACATCACTTTTGACGGTCTAGTGCACCACTTTCAAGGGAAATACACATATATTCTGGTTCAGACCATCCCTGACCTACCTGATACCCTGACGCAGTTCAGCATTGAAGGCATGAACTATCCTTTCCGTCGAAGTCGACACATTACTAACCTGAAGGAGATCCTTGTCAATGTTTACAATCACACAGTGCGATTCAGGCAGAACAAGCAGCTTGTGGTAAGTCTCTCACTGATTGCAGAGTACGGAGAAAGGCCTACCCTTGGAGTAAAACACTTTTGAGTAATAAATGTCTGCTTTGAAGAATTTAAGTATTTAAGCAATCTGTATTATAACAGCAGTGTTATGAGGCAACCACAAATGTGATTTTCAGTGTGTTGCATGTTTTTTTCTCTATAGCTATGAAGGATACAATTCTCTTCAAATAAATGAATAAAAAGTGATTTAGGAATAAAGTGCCAAATATCCCAAGACCTACTGTGATGCCATACATATTTTTATCAGTGGGAGGAAAAAAGAAGTGTGAATTATGCAAGGAGAACTTAATTTCCTTTCTCTTTATTAATGTGTAAGAGTACACATAGCTCACATATATTTTAGCTCAATAATAAAAATCTTTAAGGATGATATGAAAATACTGTGTCCAGATACCTTCCTCAATACATGATTTTGTTAATTAAAAAAAAAAATTGAATACTGAAGTTTTAATCTGGTTAAATTATCTATTTAACATAAAACCAAAGGAGTGTTCACTTGTAGCATTGACCTGTACTGAAGAAAGATTTGAATTTGGCTTATATATTATGAATTTCTACTTATTCTTTCCCTGTTAGTTGGATGGAGTAAAAGTGATACCACCTGCTCAACCTCATGAAGGTATTCGTATATATCAGAGGACAACAAGAATTCACCTGGAAACAGATTTTGGCTTATACGTGAGCTTCGATGGCAATCAAAATGCAGGTAACTAAGCCAACATGTAGGAATATTTATGCACTGTCTCAAAAAATGTTATTTTTCCAAAGGAGGTCTAAACCCAGAGCAAAATTAGAAACCTTCACCCTTTGAGCCTATGGCCCTTTGTGATACAACCTTCCAGAAAACCAAAACAAAGTGTTTCCCAGGAACCAGAAAAAAAACCCATAAAACGGGCATTTCTTTACCTGAATCCACCTAAACTTAGGAGAAATGAGATGTAGATTCATACTGTTCTACTTTCTTTCATGTTAAATAAGGCCTGAATGATAAAACTGACAGCAAATGACTTAAAAATTATGATTAGGATGATGGCATAAAGCCTGGATCTGCCCCTGTGCCAATTTAAACCAGTCATAGGACTGAGGTCCTCAAGCTATATGGCTGTGAGTGCATTCGTTTACATACTTCCTCTCAAACCTATTCCAGATAATCCCATTCTTTAATGATTCTCAGCAGGACTCATGTCACGTATACACAACTCACTAATAATGTGAACACACATTACTACCTCCTCTGTTTAGAGTTACTCCTGATTTACAACAGAATATAGCCCTGTTATTTCTGAGTGTATGGTGAAAGTGCCAGGCCATTTACACATATGACCATCATTCCAAACCCTAAAATTCCAACTGCAGAAAGAAAAGGTCTGTTTTATAGGAATTCTGTTTCAAAATGAGCAAGGTCATTGTAACTGAAGGGCAAAACCTGGGTGCTGCATTCAGTTTGCAAAGCAGTAAGCAGGATGCACTAAGAGCAATCGGGTAGTGATGTCACGTTATATAACATCTTACTGGCTGCAAAAAATGACTTCATGATCCATGGTGCAGACTACAGAAATGGTCCTGTGAATACATATATGAAAACATGTGTTTAGGGCTGTGCTCACATTTCTGAGGCCCATGTCATATTACCAACTCAAATCTGAATCATGAAATGTGATACTTGGCATTTCTTTCCACCTCTTCCATATGCTCAGAAGGAAAGATCTCTGTGTAATGGCTTTTTTGTGGTTTTTTTTTTGTTGTTGTTCTGATATTCCATAGATATAAAGCTGGCCAACACCTACAGCAACAGAGTGGAAGGCTTGTGTGGTGACTTTGATGGAAGATATAAAAATGACTTCACAAAACCAGATGGTGTTTGGGTGAAGAACGTAAATACATTTGGTGAGAGCTGGAAAGTTCCTGTGACAAGAACAACCTCTCGCCTCAGGTACTTAACTTTCTACTTATACCCACAGCAAGAACGGCCACTGGAAGTGAGTGAATTAAGCCACAGTTAATATCCAGGAATAACTACACTGTCTTATTTCTCGTCTTTCTTCATCTGGTCTGCATGTGGAGACTTTTCCTGCTTAAAACTAAGGTGAACTAGCAGCACTATTCTGACTAATGTTCAAGTTTTATTGAATAGATTGGATGAAGAAGGTATTGGATGAAGCCTGTGTCATGCAGAATTTCCAAAGAGATAATTACATATATCCCTTTTGATTTTAATATCCATAAATCTCTGAGATGGTAGGAAGTGTTCTACTACATCTTTGACTTGCTTTATCTATCTCTTTCCCATTCAGGATAAATCATGAGAGAGAAATAAGCTTCCACTTACACCATGAGGCAGAAGTACTCTTGTGGCATTACTTAGAGTAGTACCATGAATGTTGGTTGTAGAGAGGAATGATGGTTTCACAATGACTTAATTTACAGGCGAGATGTCAACTCAGAAGATGAGTCTGAGGAGGAACCAGATCCAGGGCTCTTCCAAGGCTGCAGTGAAAATAAGCTGGGACAAGAAAACGGAACTTCGAGCTGTAATATCCTGATTGACTCAAAAGGTCCTTTTGTAAACTGTCACTCCGTGGTCTCACCAGATTTCTATTTCACGTGAGTGTCTACTGCAGACAGTCATTCTCTCCATTTGCAAAATCATTTTGGCACTAGTTTCTGACAAGAGTTTTGCATCTTCTGTCTCCAGGGTATTAATAGAAACTGAGGCTTCAATGTATGTGTATCCTGATTCTCAACAAAAGCCTACTTTTCTACTCAGTTAAGAGGTTTTTTGGGCAGCCTGTTCTACCTTCTTAGTGGTTGCCTCATTTTTCTGAGATGCTGCATAACTGCAGATCCCATTCATCTCAGATCTTAATGCCTCTGAAAATCAGCCCATGGATATTCAGATGAGAAAAGCTGAGAAGGTAGCACTGGTAAACAAGCACTGGGTAAAACAGAATTCCGTGTCAATATTCAAGGTATATGAATATGGGGAAGGGCACCTATGTATTAACAGAAGTGTGAAGTCCAGCTCTAAGGACTTAGCAGTGTTAGTGCTCAATAAGCAAGATGCAGCCATGGTAACCCAAACCAGAAGCAGATCACAAAGAGTAACTTGCAGTTATCTATCACAAAGAATAACAAGCAGTCAGGTACCTGTTTATTGCTTGTTCATATATGAATACCTCACATGTTAGCAGCAGGTGCACAACAAATGACCTGGTCCTCTGTGTTCCTGTCAGCCAGAAAATGGAACTAACTCAGAGTAAGGCAGAAAAGCAGCTGAAAATAAACAAAACCAAAGGGACTGGGAATGAACACTTTCTCATGTTGCACATAGGAGCTGCCTGTTTGATATGTGTGTGGAAGGAGATGAGGAAGGAGATGAGGATGCTACCTTATGTCGCAGTCTGGAAGAGTATGTGCTGACTTGTCAGCTGCAAGGAGTCAGTATGGAAGGCTGGAGGCAACAGACAGATTGTGGTAAGCAAAAGAAGAACCAGAAACTTCTTTCTGCCTAAAGGACTCTCCAGATCTGAGACTTGTAGGCTTTTCCTAGATGTACCATACATCAAAGCTGCTCAGAGAGTAAAAGCATGTTGATTCACGCTTAAATCACTGTTCACAGTTTAGCATGCACACTTGCTCTTCTGGCCTTTCTTACGTCTTACGTCTTATGCTGACTTTTGCATTTAGATCCCACCTTAGAAAGCTACTTATGAAAGCAGATCTGTCAGGTCCCCAGCTATCAGAAGTTTTGTGAGTGAAAAAAATGTCCCCACTCCCAACTGAGCAAAAAAGTTAAAATTCTGGAGACCATCACAAGCCACAGTTCTGAAGGGAAAAGCGTTTAATGTCAATCTTTTTTAAATCTACAAAAAATACTAATTCTCTATTTGCCTGTGAAATTTCAAGATAAAAAAAAAGATTCAGCTAAACACTCCAAATCTTTCAGACTAAAAAAATGATAAAACTTATAATAGTCTAAAATCCTTTTTTTTCCTTTCCCCCCAAATTGGGAGGTTCAAGATTCATCAAACCATACTTCCCCTGCATCACCCACAGTCAGATGACTCTGTATTCCTGGTACTTGCAGGAATAGTTATCCTGAATGTGTGAGAAGTTATTTGTGGTCAGTGAGCACCAGGAATGAGAACACAGCACACAAATAGCTTTCACAATGCATTTTTGACTTTGGAGTGCTTTACTTAGAACTCCAGTACTATTATATATGTATGCACATCTCAGTATATGTGTGGTTATCATATTGCTCTCTACAACACGGTAACATCCTCTGAGTCTCAAAGGGCATTGTGTAAGTAATGCACAGCAGCCTGCTGTAACTGGACTCCCCTTATTTTTACAGGTATATCATGTCCTGCCAACAGCAACTACAGCTCATGCATGTCTGCATGCCCAGCATCCTGCAGTGACTTGACCAGCCCCTCTGAGTGTGAATCACCTTGTCTTGAGGGCTGTGAATGTCTCCCTGGCTATGTTCTCAGTGGTTCTGATTGTGTGCCTTACAGGCAATGTGGCTGCACATACCTTGACAAATATTATGAGGTACAGTCTCTCTGTGGGTCACACAGCTCCCGCAGCACCAAATAATTTTTTTCTGCTAATTATTTTAACAGTCTCCTCATTCTCCTCAGCATGTAATTTCCATGGAGGAAGGGAAGAGAGAGAGAGAGATCACTTGGTTTGCCTCTGAAACTCTGCCTGCCAGAATACAAGGCATATGCTTTGAGAAAGCATATGATTACACTCTGACCTCTGTGTTAATTCTTCACCTTTACTATAGAGGGGAAGTTTAGACTGGATGTAAGGAGGAAGTTTTTTACTGTAAGGGTGGTGAGGCACTGGAATGGGCTGCCCAAGGAAGTTGTGAACGCTCCATCCCTGGTGGTGTCCAAGGCCAGGTTAGACAGAGCCTTGGGTGGCATGGTTTAGTGTGAGGTGTCCCTGCCCATGGCAGCAGGGTTGGAAGTAGATGACCGTAAGGTCCTTTCCAACCCTAGCCCTTCTATGATTCTGTTATGCTAAATAATAGCCTCATAGGCTCTGAAGTTTACAACACACCAGTTTCACAAAAATTCTGTCAGTCACTGCGGTCACTTTCCTCTCAGTAAAGAGTGGTACAAGCAAGGTTGAGAGTCTGTAGAGTTGGCTGTGACACGAAGAGAGTCCCAATCAAGGCTGGATTCTGAGGAATATGGTGAAACTTCCACTGTTGCTGCAGGATAGAGCAGCTTTGTAATCTCATAGATTTCTGGTTTAATACTAGAGATCTAGTAGGGAAAAAGCCTAAGTCAGTAAAGGTTGTTTTTTATATGAGGAATGAGACACTATGAAAAGGTGTCACTTTAAAGAAAAATAGCACTTTAAAGAAAAATGGCACATAGCATTTCCACATTGCCTCAGAGGCACGATGTGACGTGTCTGCCACTCTCTCTTATCTCCAGCAACAGTTAGACATTGTTGGTTGCACTTGTATCCCACCTGGGGCTAGGATGTTGTATGCCAACCTCTTCTTTTGCATTCTTTCTTGGGCCATCCTTGACTTTCAAAGGACTGGATTAATAAACTGCTTGCTCACTCTTTGTAGTTTTACAAACTACTTAAAAAAAGAAAAAGGAAAAAAAAGAGCTTTGTTGCCGTTCATCAGGAAAACATCAGAGAGAGTAGCATGGGGCCCCAGTGACTCATTCATGCTTTTTCTAGCTACTTTTATTTGATATTTTTAACATTTAACTGCTGTCTTCTAGATTGGAGAAATATTCACCACTGATGACTGCTCTCAGAGATGCCAGTGCACAGAAAGCTCCACTGTCTTCTGCTCAAACATAGTGTGTGGATCTGATGAAATCTGTGGCATTTCAAATTACAGTCGTGGATGCTACAGGAGTAAGTCATCCACTATCACATTGTCTTTGATGCTAAGAAGTCTTGACTTCCTATTTATAGGACATCACTGAGCTGGGGTGATGAGTGTGTACAGAAGAAAAGCATACGAGGGATCTTATTCTGATGTTTCATTGTAGAAACAGTGTTTCTTTCCCTTATTGATGTTGTCTAGTACAAGTAATATGCTTTAAAATACAGGGGATAGTCAACATTAGGAGTCAGTATAATCTAAGCATGAACAGTTCTCTCAGGGTTGGGTTATCTGAGAGTGTGAAGTGTTTCTTCTTCCTCACTGCTAGGTGGACCATGTATGCCAAATCCTTGTAAGAATGATGGAGTTTGCTCTGAAACTACTGACAGCACCTCTCTCTCCTTCCACTGTGAATGTTCAGAACTGTACACAGGACAAACATGCGAGGCTGAAAAGAGGGGTAATAAAACTATTCTGGCTTCACTGTTTGCATTACACACACCATTTTCAAAAATGGGTGCAATTATGGAGAAGACAGAGCTTGGTCTTCACTTCTGTGCTGTAAATGAGTAACTCAGTAGGTAAGAGCCTGTGGTCACCCAAGAAGAAAGAAGGGGGTCAAATCCCCCAGTGGGCATGACAGCAGGGCTATGTAGAGCATACAGGACCTTGGTCCGATGCCACTCCAGAAATCCACATTCATCAAAGAATATGGTGTAAACCAAGGAGACAGGCAAGGGTTGAAAAAATGTTCCTGTTCCCAGTATGGTTAGCTTTCACTGACAGGACTCCTCTTTGTTCTTCATTTGAAGTCTCTGCCACAGAGGATCCTGAGAACCATACGGTTGCCATCGTCACTGGAATTGTGGCAGGTGTAGTTGTTGTCACCATTCTCATCTCCTCTGCAGTGTACCTGTGCAGGTAAGGCTTTTCCCAGCTTTTCTAAGTTCAACATACATACACCCCTTTTAGCACTGTAAACGTCAAAACTCCAATCAGTCACATACGTGCAGGACCAAAAAGGAACCACAGCATTCAGAATCTCATTTGAAGAATGTCGGGGAAAATACAGCTTCTTCTACAGAAATTAACATACGTCATTTCCATTATCCATATGCATTACTGTCACAAAACTTGGACTTCTCCAAATTCTGACTTCATTCATGCTCACACCATTGTTTGGCCTCTCACTATAGATAAAATATAGATTAATCACCTTTTTTTTTTTTCATTGTGCAGGAGGAAAAGAAAGATGGATACACATGAGATATCAAGGAATTCTTTGAAACAGCCCGGGAATGTACTGGATGACAGAGCAGATGAGCACAATTATGGCTGCATTGTGAACGATGCATTTGATCAAAATGAATCCCAAACTACATACCTATAGTTAGCAATACTTTTCCAATTTATTTGTATTACTTTCTGCTCTTGTATTTTAATAGTATTTCTAATATTTTGAGAATAAATAAATCATTGCATTTGCTGAAAACCTTTGAAGTTGTTCATTTAAAGTATCTCTCAGATCTCATGTTACAGACCCAAATTGAAATATATCCTAACTCAGAGACCATGCTGTCTTCAGAGACTGAAAAACACAACATCCAGGCAGAATTTAGCAGTACAAGTGTGCTGCACACCCTTGACAGATGTACAAGCCATAGACTGATGAGGTCAGAATTTGTTGTATCATCCTAGGCAGGTCTTCAAGAAATCATCTTACCCCACAGCCTTCCATGGAGAGGGGATTAGCTGACTGAGTTGGATACAGTTCTTACTCCTCTTCTGGCAAGGCATGTTCAACTGGGGAAAAGAATAAAGAAAGCACTGAACTCATGGGGTGACAGGTGTAGGAAAAAAAGATGACCCTCATTGTCCCCCATGGGAGTGCTGGACTAAAAGAAGGAACTGTTTGAAGGAGAGCTGCCTCATTGCTGTTACGGTGGAGTGAACAAGAAGGAGGGTTGTCATCAGTCCCCTGCCTGAAAGGGCTAAGCTATGGCCTTAACTTCACAAAGCTAACTTCACTAAAACTTTCTAAAGAATAAGATCCTGTAATAAACTTTCCTTTGGGGTCTTTGCAGACTCTGAAGCTGCCACACTCTGATGAATGTGGGTAGACATCTGCATTGGCTCAGTCCCAGACCATGATAAGGATGCCCCTACAGCAGAAGGCTAAATGTGTTTGGGACAAGGCACAATAAGATGCAGTGTGTGAGATGCCTACTCCATGACAGACCACTCAAAACACTCAGGAAACTGAGGCACTGACTGGGCCTCATCCAAGCCCTGAACTAATTTCCTGTGCCATGAGTGAAGCTTTGTGACTTACGGAGTGCACCATTTGCTGATGAATTTCCAGTTCTTTGCAGCTTCACTTTTGACTATGGTGAGGAACAACATGGGCTTCCTGTTGTCGCTGCCATAATGCTGGTTATTATTTACTTACACTTGCTCCTTTCCCTTGTGTCCATAAACTCATGCATGCTGCTAGCAAGAAAAGCATTGTAACCTCCATGAACAGTAAGATAGATAAAAGGCATTTTATTCTGATCCATTCGAGAACATGCTAGCTGTCCACACATGCACAGCACAGCTATTTTGGAGAGGATGTGACTGGAAAAGGTCTTTCAGCCTCATTACCTAATGAAAATGAATCAAAAGAGATCTACTCGTGCACAAACGGTCAACCTTATGCTGGAATTTCACCACAATTAATTATAAAGGCATCTTTCCTGTTAGCTCAGTGGCAGCTTTCTATGGCACTCTCACACTTTCTAACTGCACAATGCTGGGAACCTTGACCACTGCTGACCAGGCTCACCTCCCCTTGCAGCTGGTAGGAGCACAGGCTAGTCCCTACACTGCAGGATCCCAACCCCAGCTCTTGCAAGCAGCAGGGCCCAGCTGCACTCAGGTAAAGCAGATTTCTGGGTTTCCATGGATCTACTTTCCCCCCACCAATACCACAAGAATTGCCTTTGTTTTTCACTGCAAAGCTCTGCAAGTGCTTCAGACTTGAAACAGGGGATGATACAGAAAGAATTACAACACACTGCTCCACTGGCTTAACTATTTCATGTCAATGGAAGCCAGAAAAATGCCAAATCTGCAGCTCTGATCTTTTAAACCAACCAGCTTGCTCACCTGACTCTTGAAACACTAACCTTTAAATGCACTGCGTAGTCCAGCTCACTGAGAGGGCTCTGTTGTTAGTGAACACTCCTTAACATACTGTACTGGCGACAGCCAAAGAGGAAACAACTGTGCCTACTCAGCTGTGCTCAGCCCTCAGCTCAGAGAATTATTGCTGGGTGCAATCACGAAACTCCTCTGATGTCCTGAAGGAAATTCCTTGGCCACAACATGAAAAGCAATCCTAGAAATCTCTTTACCCTAAAACGGCCACTGGGATTTCTTCTGAGCCTCCTTTGCTTCTCTTCACCAGGAAGAAAGAAGTGGATCAGCAGCGTGCCCCTTCTGTATCATAAGCTTACCCAGTAAAGGATGCTCGCTCTCTGCTCGGCAGGACAGCCCCGGCCCCCCACACCGGAGCTCACCCCCGCGGCCGGCGGAGCGCCGGCAGGGCTCCCGGCGAGGAGGTGACGGCCCGTCTTTCCCAGGGAAAAGACGGGCTTTCCCACAAGACGGACAGATTTAACAACACCCCCTGGAGCGGAGCCTCCCACCGCGGAACGGAGCAGCCGCTCACCAGGGCGCCTCCTCGCTATTTATAGCGGCCGGGAGGAGCGAAGACCCGGCCCAGCTTCCGCCGCTGCCCCCGCCCCAGGGTGACAGCCCGGCTGCGGTGACAGCGGGATTGGCGCTGCAGGGTGAGCGGGGCACTGGGGGGACATTGGGGTGCGGGCAGGCGTCTGCCAGCAGGACGTAACTCTCCCGGGCTGCCGAGAGGGACGCGCTGAGCTGGGGACGGGGCTGGGCGCCCCGCGGCCCTGTGAATGTCTACCGGAGCTACCGCGATACCGGCACAAGCAGAGCCCCGAAAGGCACACGGCCGGGACGGAACAGCAGACTGCTGTCCGGGGAGAGCACCGAGCGCTACAGGCTGGAGGCCAGCCCGTAAAATGGCTGCATCCTCCGCGGGAGCGGTGGCGATGTCAGGGCTGACTCCCCGGCAGCGCGTCGCTCGGCCCTGCAGAGAGCCGGGCGGCCGAAGCATTAGGGTTAGGTGCCGGCTGCGATAGACAGAGCGTGCCAGTGGTAGGCCCTAATGATCTTTCTGCCTGCAATCTCCCAGTAGATGCTCTGTGCACATCCCGGACCTCCCCTCCACCGTGCCTTGCACTGAGCCTGCCCAGCGAGAGGGGCATGTCCTGACCTTGGGCTCTGGAGATGGCAGCCATCGAGGGCTTTAGTGCCACCCACCCCGGTGACCCTGAGCCTGGGGACCTGATCGAGATCTTCCGGCCAGCTTACCAGCACTGGGCCCTCTACGTGGGAGATGGGTATGTCATCAACGTGACGCCTGTAGGTAAGGCTGGTGCAGCTTGGCAGGGTGTAGATGGGCCCTTGCCCCTTCTCCATGGGCTGGCAGGGTGTAGATGGGCCCTTGCCCCTTCTCCATCTACACCTGTGTGTGTAGATGACCTTTCCAAAAACCCATCTGAGGTCTGGGAGGAGCCAGATGGGGCCCACCGGGCTCATCCTATCCCTGCCTTCCCCAGATGAAGGGCCCCCAGCCACATTCTCCAGTGCGAAGTCAGTGTTCAGCAGGAAGGCCCGGGTGAGGATGCAGCTCCTGAAGGATGTGGTGGGAAATGATACCTACCACGTCAACAACAAGTATGATGGCACCTATGCTCCCCTCCCAGTGGAGGAGATCATCCAGCGTGCGGAGTACCTCATTGACCAGGAGGTGTCTTATGACCTGCTCAGCAACAACTGTGAGCACTTCGTGACGCTGCTCCGCTATGGTGAGGGTGTCTCTAGCCAGGTAAGTAACATGGTGTAAGCCCCTATATGCCTCACAGTGCATCTGCTTGCTGCTGTATGTGAGTCCCTGGAATGGGGCACAGCCTGGAAACTGCCTGGGGACAGCAAAGTCCAAGGCACAGGATCCAGACTGTCATTGCCTTTGGCCTCACAGGAGATCATGAACCAGGAGGTTCACTATCTGCACCTTGACAGAGCCCTCTTACCAAATGCCAGAGCCCAAGGGTGAAAGCCTGGGTGTTGCCTCTGTGCTTATAGGGAAGGTGTCTCTTATTCATTTAATTGCTTTGATTATCTCTGCCTGCTCTTTATTATTCATGCTTGGGGGTATATAAAAAAAAAGCTTATTATGTTCCAGCCTGTGTTTTACTTCTCTGCAGGCCAACAGAGCAATCAGTGCCATCGGGTTTGTGACAGCTGCCGCCGGTGCCTTCTCCTTGTTGGGCTTGCTTCGGAGCAGATCCAGAGAGAGACAGTATTGATGGGCCATTGGGATGAGCTGAGAGCAGGGCAGAGAGGCCGTGGCTGGGTTACTTGGGGCAGTTTGTGGCCACAGCTGCCGCTAAGATTTACTAACAACTGTGTCCCCCTTGCTGAGAGCAGCACTAGTCTTTTCTACATCAGCTTTTATTTCATTGCCTATGGTGATTTTTGTAGTAGTCTGGGAGTGTATGCGAGCAAATTCTCCATCCTCGTGCACCCAGTGCTCTGCTGAGGACTGGTGCAGGCTTTCTACGCACATCATAGAATCACAGAGTAGTTAGGGTTGGAAAGACCTTAAGATAATCTAGTTCCAACATCCTGTTTTTATTAACTACACCCTGATGGATTTTTTCTGTGAATAACTTGTTTTAACCCTAACATTTTACTTTTTCTTTGGGGTGTTTTGTTTTGTTTTTTTTAATTAAAACTAATGTAAAAGTATTGCTGAGTGTTTATTGTGTGTCCTCCAGCTAAGGGCCTGTGCAATTGGAAAACCCCAGGTTCTCAGGCCTACGAAAGGGCAGACAGAGCATGCACTGTGTTTTGGAGCCTGCATGCACGCCTACATGGAGCTGCTCCTGTGAAGGGTGGGAGGTAGGAAGGAAGGGCTGGTCTTACAAATTATATCCTTCAGTGTTTTAAATGAGTGTGCTATTTTTTCATGAGAGTGTTGTGGTCAATTTTCTGTTGCCTGGAAAACATCTCTTTCACTGGCTCTTGTGCCTCCCTTTGGGAGCAGCAGACTCCCAGTTTGGTGGGGGAATGGTGGGGTGGTCTAGCAAAAAAACAGGTAGGTTTTTCACCTTTTGTTCCAGATTGGGGCTGCTGTGCCACTGAAATGCTTCATCACTGTAAGCGCAGTAATTATTTGCACTGTATCTTACCAGGCTTACTAGATGATCTTTAAGGTCCCTTCTAACCCAAACCATTCTATGATTCTACTCCTTGGGCTGCCAAAGCACTGAGGTTTAAAGATCACAACAGATTGCAAGAGAGTCTTTGCCCTGTGGTGCTGTGGGTGATGTACCTGGAGAATGAGCTATGCAGCACCTATGCCCCATCTCCCTGTGTACAGAGCCCTGCTATTTCCTTGTTGCAAAGCTGACATGCGGTTTGTCTTAGGAAAGTGTGGTTTATTGCTTTTTACCAGGAGTATCAGGCTGATGTGTTTGAAACCATGTTATTTACAGATGGCATGTAAGAAATAAAATCCTGTGTGGCTTTTGCCACAGGGAACTGCCTGGACTGTAAGAAGAGATGACAGCAAAAGAGCTGTTTATAAGAGGCTTGCTGGTTTTTGTCGGCTCTTAACACGTACATAAAGGGATCAGAAGGGTTTTTTTAAACATCAGTTGTTTCAGTGTTTGAAATAACAAAACCAAGACTTTGGTCATATTTGTAGTACCCTCTGTTATTACATTTAAATAAAGTTATTCTTTTTTAATATGGGAAAGCATAATAAAACTGAAAGTCCTTTTTTTTTCTTCCTGCAAATGTAATCAAGAGATCCTTCATAGCTAAACTAATTAGGTGGTTGAACCACTTGAGCAAGTACAAAGTACAAAGAGCAAGTACAAAGGAGCTCAATCTCTTGTACCTGTCCAACAGCCATGTGCTGGAGCATGTTAAACTCCCTGCTTCTTGCCATGACCTAGTTAAAGTGAGAAGCCAAGACTTAGCCTTGCTTTCTGCTGCATGACAGCAAACACAGGGCAGGACCTGGAAGGGGCGGGGGGAGGCTAGGGGCCTGTGTGTCATGTATGCTGCAGTTGTGCTGGCCTTTCCAGCCTTAAGTAGGGCATATCCTCACCAGCCTTCTCAGCCTGGTCTCACAGCAATCCATGAGCTTTAACCTTTCGTGTACTTGGAGCATTATGCCTGCAAGAACTGGCAAGGGATAGCTGTGAGAGGGCAATGTAGGCACCCTCTCACATCTGTAATGTGATCTGTAATCATTCTGCGATGCAAGAAAGCTGGAATTACTTAATCTGGGGAACTTTCTTGTAGTTCTTGGAAGCTGCAGTGTTGTGTTAAACACAGGATTTTGCAATTGTACACATGCTCCTCTGTGCAGTCAAGAGTTACCCTGGATTGCGTTCCTTCAAGCCTGGTGGGCGCATTGACAGGATTTGGTGGAGCAGTGACTGAAACGTGGAGTGAGAGCGTGACATGGAGCAGCAGAAGCCATTGCTTTGCTGTATTCAGTATTTTTGAGTCTTTGTAGGAGTTGTTGGCAAGGCCCAAGAACTGCTGTTGCCACGGAGTAGAGTCAAGGCTGTTATTTTACTAGCAGCCAAGAGAATAATCCTTGCCTGTCCCCTAGGCACAGCCAGCACAGGCCCAGAGGCCCCTGAATGGATGGCTTTATGCAGGGATTTCAAACATGTGAAGCTAGCACACACACAGGATGCAAACACAGGCTGTTCAGTGCAAGCCATCGAAGCTACCAGCACTGTGCAGCCCCACATGCAGCTGCAGGGTCTCACCTAGTCCTTGTCACTGTGTTCATAGGTGGGGTTAATGTAAACCTCATGTGTGCTTTTTGCTGCGAAGTCTTCTGTGTTTACAGGAGGCCAGTTGGGATCCCTCTGCAGCATCCTCTGCCATTTTCGGTACTGGCTGTTTGATTGATACCCAAACAAGGCTTTAATCAGCAGCCAGAGGTGCTTGTTCTGCAAGATAATGTCCTGTGGAGTGACATGATGCAGGGTCAGTGCTATTGTGCTTCACTGGAAAGGAGCACTTGGGCACAAAAGCCATCCCTTGCTACGTGCACAGACCCCTGAGCTCCATGGCGCTGGGCAGCTGTGTGCACAGCTGACAAATGCCACCTTCCTTATCTACATGAAGGCTCTGCTCAGTTCTGTCAGGACAGCACTGATCTTGGTTTAGCTGGTGGGGATAACCAAGGGGGAAGATTTTCCTCCTGAGGCTGTGGGATAACCACACACTGCTGCTTCTTGCCGGGGACTATCCCTGATGCTGGATACAGCCAGCCTCAGTCCACAGAACGCTTCAGGGCTTAGTCATTACTGCAATATCCAATGCCACAAGCCAGTGTAGTCTCTGGCCTGATTGACTGTAGGTCAATAGGGAACTGGTTGTTTCAAAATCACTGCCAAGTGCCTGGCCCATGCTGCCACAGACTCTTCTGAGGCAGCTGCACTTCAACTCACTCCCTCTCTAAAGACTTAAGATGTGGTCTAAATCATCTGTGGGGCTGAATAAAATATATCTGACTGACACACACTGAGTCTTATGGGAAAAAAAAAGCCTGAAGGTTTATGCTTCTGCAGGACATGGCAGTTGTAAATGGGGTAGAAAGACCTCACAAGGGGCTGCTCCTGTTCACCCCAGGGAGCAGGTAGGTAAACAAAGGCACTCACCTCTGTAAATAAAGAAACACAAAAGGTGACCAAGAGCATTAGTAAGACGTAAACTCTCCAGATGAGAGGAGTGCAAAGAAACTGTTGGAAAAGATATGAACAGCAATTAGGCTTAAATGCCTTGCCAAGGTTTGTATCTGTTCCTAATGATTTGAGAAGCTGACTGAGTTTTCCCAGGAGTAAGTATGGAGGAGGCAGTAGGAAATAACAGTAAATCCTTGTCACAGAGATCTTGGAAGGTTTGATGACAGATCCCCCATGGCTTGTAGCTGCCTAACTCATCTTGGTTATTTAAGCTACTGCTGAAACATGCAGATTGGGTACCTGGGTCAAGATCCAGTGCTCAAATACTTCCAGGGAGCTTCAGCTAATGCATGATGTATAGCTTCTCTCCCTCTGTATACACTTCCCCTTATGGCAAGCCCCTATCTGAATTCATCCTTTGCAGGATGGCTGGAACTGATCCTAAGGCCTTTGCCATTCCCGATGGAGGCAGCTGCCTGCACTGTGCCCTGACTGAATGCCCAGGAGGGCTGAAGCAGCTGGCCCCATATAAGCTCATGGTGCTCCCAGGGAAGGGGGTGGCAGCAGCAATCCTTGCCCACTCGCTTCTCTGGCCAACAAGCCTCCTCCAGTGCAAAACCACAATCCACCCTATTGTACCTTTTCTGTTAGTCAGAAAAGCCCAGCAAGCTATAAGCACTTTTTCTTCTGGTGATGCCCAGTCTTTAGAGAAGAGGAGGTCTACCTCATTAATGAAGCTCTTTAAGAGGGATGCTAGAGATGTTTGAAAGGGCTGTCCAATCACCATCAGATCAGCAAATTAATATACAAAACTGCAGGTGTAGTTTCTGCTCTGTATGCTTAGGTAAAGGGCCAGCAAAATTCATGGCATGAGAAGGAAATACATATTTAGTTTATGCTTACCTGCATTCCACTGTACACAGCATCGATGTCTGCGAAGAAGAGGAAGAGGCAGACTGCAAGCTGGAGGGCCAGGAGCACTGAAAATACATCTATGGAAAGAAGAGCATTTGTGGCCCTGGGAAGGAGGAAGTCTGGTGATAAAACTCAGTAAATATGGTGGCAGAAGCCCAAAGGCTAATGCTGTAAAAATGCTATCATGTAGAGTGCCTTTCTTTTCCTCCTTAAAAGAAGAGCTAGGGAACTGAGCTACTCCCCAGCAGCCTGTTGCAAAGCTCACCACATACACTTATTTGCACAAGTGATTCGACACATCCTGATCCTTATACAGCCAAAGAAAACTGCCCCAAAGGGGCACTGCTGTGAGCCACACTAGCATTCCTCCTGCACTTGCTTCTCCATGTGCTCAGCTGTGTGCTTGGAGCACCAGCAGTGGAAGAGGCTGCTTGTCCTCCCCTCCAGAGGAGCCCAGTACTTCTGCACCAACAGAATACAAAGGTGGGCTACTCCTGTGCCTTTGACAGGAAGGATTTGTCTGGCTTTGCATCCTTTTCCAAAGGAGCAGGAGGCCACAGAGTGACGGCAAATAGCTCAGACATCCAGAGGTGCCAAACTCCTGGCAGTGATCAGGATTTGAGCATCTTAAAACTAGCTGGCAGGTTGGGTCAATAGCTCCCAACAGCCTCCTGGCAACCTTCTTGCTGTCAGGGACTAGAGGCTGCTGAGTGGGTGGCAAAACCAAGGGAACTGCCCTTTGCTTTCTCCTAGTAACTGTCCCAGTATGGGGATAAAACACAAGATAAGTACGTGCAGATTTCTCTGCTGACAGAGTACTCTGTCCCGTCTCAGCCTGGATGCTTGCAGGGCAGCTTTTTTCTGTTCTTACCTGTCTTCTGCAGGTCATCAGCGCTCTGTGAAAAGGGATTGGGACCTGCCTTTTAACAAAATC